AGATTCTCTTTCTCCTTCCCCCCTGCCCCTCCATCTCACTCTAAAATAAATAAATTAATTAAATCTTTAAAAAAATGTACAGTGTGATATTTTGTTATATGTATACATGGTGAATTCAACATTTTTAGATTTCACATATAACAGATCATGCACTATTTGTCTTTCTGTGTCTGGCTTATTTCATTCAGCATAACATTCTCCAGGTTTACCTATGTTAACTCAAATGACAGAATTTCCTCTTTTTAAGGCTGAATAATATTCCATTGTGTGTGTGTGTGTGTGTGTGTGAGTATTGATGGAAATGTAGATTGTTCCCACATTCAAGCTATTGTAAGGAGTGCTGCAATGAATGTAGGAATGCAAATCATGATTTCCATTCTTTTGGGTATGTACCAGAAGTGGGATTGCTGGATCCTATGGTAGTTCTATATTTAACTTTTTAAAAAAAGTTTATTTTTTTAAGCAATCTCTATGCCCCATGTGGGGCTTGAACCCATGACCCAAGATCAAGAGTTCAACACTCTCCTGACGGAGCCCCCTACTTTTAACTTTTTGAGGAACTTTCACACTGTTTTCCATAGCAACTGTGCCACCACCCCTATGCAATTCCTCCACATCTTCACCAACACTTGTCATCTTTAGTCTTATTGATAATAACCACTCTAGGATTTTTAGCCTGGGTGGCTCAGATGGTTAAGCATCGGCCTTCGGCTCAGGTCATGATCCTAGGGTCCTGGGATCGAGTCCCACATTGGGTCTCTGGCTGAGCAAGGAGCATCCTTCTCCCTCTGCCTCTCCCCCTGCTCATGCTCTCTCTCTCTGTGTGTGTCTCAAATGAATAAATAAAATCTGAAAAAAATAAAATAAATAACCACTTTAACTGCTGTGAGGTGATATCCCATTGTGGTTTTGATTTGCATTTCTCCGATGGTTAGTGATGTCAAGCATTTTTTTGTATACTAATTGGCCATTTGTGTGTCTTCTTATAAGAAATATCTATTAAGGTTGTTTAGCCATTTTTAAGTTGGGTTACTTGCTGCTAATATCTTTATATTACAACTGAGGAAATTGACACTAAAACCTTACTTATTTTACTTCATCTTTGCAACAACCTTGTAAGAAAGTAAACCTCAGAGGCCAAACTTGCTCAAGGTCACAAGGCTAATAAGTGAAATCAAATTCAGCTCTGCTACTTACCTGCTTAACTGGTTGAGAAGCACTGCCCTATGGATTTTAATAATTTCTTATTAACTGCTGCTCTAGTTGTCTTCCCTTTCTCCGCTCTTCACTCTGCGTTGTGTGGGCTTCATCCTGAGGTTGGGTGCTCTCACTAGATGGTCACTGAGATCGTGGGAATCACACCAAGACACAATAGGCCTTCTCCTAACCAATCACTTCCAAGGGAATGGGATCACCAAGAGCTACTGGAAGAGCAGAATGGGTGCTTGAAGCCAACAGCTGCCTCCTTCACCCCTTATATTTACAGAGCATGTCCGAGTTTTCAGAATTGTTTCATGGTGGTTATTGCTTTTGAGCTTCACAACAATCTATGTCAAATGTGAGTTCGGGGGTGTCCTTTGGGGGTGGTTTTATGTACAGGAAAAAAATTAATTTTTTAAAAGATTTTGAGATAGAGCATGAGCAGGGGGAGGGGCAGAGGGAGAGGGAAAGGGAGAAGCAGACTCCCCCACCACCTCCCCACCCACCCCGCTGAGTGCAGAGACTGAGGTGGGCCTCAATCCCAGAAAGTCAGACACTTAACTGACTGAGCCCCCAGGTGCCCCCCAAAATTAATCTTAATATTCAATATATTAAAATACAAATCTCACAATCTAATCCTTCCTCAGGCTTTTTAAGTCTAGCTTACAAATTCTATTTTTACAACTCTAAGAAGTTTGGCAATGATTTTAAAAAGACCTTTGATTGGGACGCCTGGGTGGCTCAGTCGTTAAGCGTCTGCCTTGGGCTCAGGTCATGATCCCAGGTGGGATCGAGCCCCGAGTTGGGCTCCTTGCTCAGTGGAAGCCTGCTTCTCCCTCTCCCACTCCCCCTGCTTGTGTTCCCTCTCTCGCTGTGTCTCTCTCTGTCAAATAAATAAATAAAATCTTTAAAAAATAAAATAAAAAGACCTTTGATTGAAATGGTCCTATTTATAAACATAATCAAATATTTAGGACCTTTTAAACTGCACTTATAAATTTAATGTATATATTAAATAATCATCTGACTTAATAAATAAAATATTCCTGAGCACTAAATAATTCTTTTTTTTTTTTTTAATTTGAGTAAAGCTGGAGCGACCGGTTGGCTCAGTCAGTTAAATGTTTGCCTTCAGCGCAGGTCATGATCCCAGGGTCCTGGTATTGAGTCCCGCATTGGGCTCCCTGTTCCGCGGGAAGCCTGCTTCTCCCTCTCCCTCTGCAGCTCCCCTTGCTTGTGCTCTCTCTCTATCTCAAATAAACAAATAAAATCTTTTAAAACGTTCTGAGTCTGACACACAATGTTACATTAGTTTCAGGTGTACAGCTGTGATCTGACGAGCCTGTATGTCATGTTCTCACCGCAAGTGTAGCTGCCATCTGTCCCTGTACATCACTATCACAATGTCATTGACTATAGTTCCTATACTGTGCCTTTTAGTCCTGTCACTTAGTCATTCTGTAAGCGGAAGCCTGTAACTTCCCCCCTCTGGGTGAACCAGTTTGCCCATCTGCTCACCCCCTTTCCCCTCTGGCAACCATCAGTTCATTTTCTGTATTTACAGGTCAGATTCTGATGCTACTTTTTGTTTGTTTATTCATTCATTTGTTTTTTTTTAATTTTTATTTATTTATTTTAAAGATTTTATTTATTTATTTGACAGAGAGAGACAGAGACAGTGAGAGAGAGACACAAGCAGGGGGAGAGGGAGAGGGAGAGGGAGAAGCAGGCTTCCCGCTGAGCAGGGAGCCAGACATGGGGCTCAATCCCAGGACCCTGGGATCATGACCTGAGCTGAAGGCAGATGCTTAATGACTAAGCCATCCAGGCGCCCCTATTTGGTTTTTTTTTTTTTTAAGATTTTATTTATTTATATGACAGAGAGAGACAGCGAGAGAGGGAACACAATTCGGGGGAGTGGGAGAGGGAGAAGCAGGCTTCCACTGAGCAGAGAGCCCGGTGCAGTGCTCATTCCCAGGACCCTGGGATCATGACTTGAGCCGAAGGCAGACGCTTAACGACTGAGGCACTCAGGCGCCCCGTTTGGTTTTTTTAGATTCCACCTATGAGTAAAATCATATGTTATTTGTCCTGACTTATTTCACTTAGCATAATACCCTCTAGGTCTATCTAAACGGCATGATCTCATCGTTTTGTATGGCCACGTAAACTAAATAATTCTTATAAATTTCATATGTTAAATTAAACTTATAACATGTTGAATGTGAAGTTCTCTTAAATAATTCAGTTCTGGATCTATACTTAATCACATCTCCAAATCAATTATGTATTTGCACATTTTAAATTGGATTGATGAGGCAGTTACTTTAATAGTTCAATTACCTGCAAACATGACAAGTATATAAGATGCCAAATATGTGCACATTCCTTAAAACAAAAATATGAATACCATGAATTTGGTTCCCTCAAATCATTTTGGGGATATAAGGCACTTCCCATACAATCTACAATTTTCCCATGTAATTATTGCTTGAGGTTGCACAAACACCAAATATTTAAGCCAGGATGCTAATTGAATTCTTACTTGTGAGGAACTGAATTGTATTTGCAGTTGCTGTATCAATTACCCTTAATTTCAGGAGAGCATGGATCAAATAGCCCAAGACAAAGACTCTCTGATTCTTGCCTAAGAGGAGTCTTGCCCGCCCTACACCACTTAATTAGGTTTTGCATTTCTTTGGCTTTTAAGATATATAATTGTAATTTCCTCGTTTCTCTAAAGAACTTTGAATTTGCTTGATTCCTACATTCTTTTTTATTCTTAGGATCTCATAACTCTTTTGTGGTATTAAAATGATGTTCATTTGAATTCTCTATTTGTCAGACTTGGTTTACAACTTCCAAAGTAATTCAACTGACATGATTTATGCTAGACGAGTTGCCTGGAAATCCTGTGGCTGGGTTCTCAACTTTATGGGGTATTCTCTTAAAGCAAGCTTTCTATGGCCTATGACTCTCTTACCAGGGGTTAAAGAATAGTTATGCCCAGCTCACAAAACTAACCAATGAAGGGACTACAACCTGTCCCCTGCCCCAAAGTGGTATGAAAATCACTTTAAACTTAAAACATCCAGGGGTGCCTGGGTGGCTCAGCAGGTTAAGCATCTGCCTTGGGCTCAGGTCATGATCTCAGGGTCCTGGGATTGAGCCCTGCATCAGGCTCCCCCTGCCTGTGCTCTCTTGCTCTCTCTTTCTCTCTCTCTCAAATAAATAAATAAAATCTTAAAAAAAAAAATAAACTTAAACATCTGAACAACCAGCAGACACAGAAGGAAACAATATCTAAACTTAAGCAAAGCCTCCTGAAAATACAGCTGCCCTTGACCCCCTCGGAGGGAGTTTCCCTTTTGGGAGCAGACTGACATTTAGCACCAGGAAGTACAAATTCAGCCGCCATTAGCATCAAAAAGTCTAATAAAACCTTCCATATTTTCCCATTGAAACCAAAATTCATCCCCTTTTTGTTAAGTTAGTCCATAAACCTTTACCTCTCTCTATGGTACTCATCACGAGCACTCCCATGTGCACATGTAAATAAACGCTGTCTTTGTCCTGTTAATCTGTGTTTTCTAAAAGGGATTTTCCAAACTTTAGATTTATATGATAAAACTTTTTGGTTAGAACTACCTAACCTTGTTTTATTGCTGTTGCCTTTATTGGGCTTCACAGATACTTTTTTTTTTTAACAAAACTGAAGGTTTATGGCAACCCTCCATTAAGCAAGTCCACTGGTGCCATTTTTCCAATAGCATTTGCTCACCTCATGACTCTGTGTCACATTTTGGTAATTTTTGCAATATTTCAAACTTTTTCATTATTATATTTGGTTTGCTGCAATCTCATGATAGGACTTTAACAGATGAAGAGTTGCTTCTTATAGATGAGCAAAGAAAGTGGTTTCTTGAGACGGAATCTACTCCTGGTGAGGATGCCGTGAAGATTGCTGAAATGACAAGAAAGGATTTAGAATAGTACATAACAACTTAGTTGATAAAGCAGCAACAGGTTTTGAGAGAACTGACTCCAATTTTTAAAGAAGTTCTACTCTAGGTAAAATGCTATCAAACAACATTGCAGGCCACAGAGAAATTGCTCATGAAAGGAAGAGTCCATCAATGCGGCAAACTTCATTCGTATCTTATTTTAAGAAGTTGCCACAGCCACCCCAACCTTCAGCAACCACCCTTATCAACAGGGAGGCAAGACCCTCCACCAGCAAAAAGATCATGACTCACTGAAAGCTCAGATGATGGCTAGCATTTTTTAGCGATATATTTTTTTAAAGAATTATTTATTTATTTTACAGAGAGAGAGAGCACGTGCGTGCACATGCACAGAGAGGAGGGGCTGAGGGAGAGGGAGAGAGAAACTTAAGCAGACTCCTGGCTGAGCTCACAACCTGAGCCGGGCTTGATCTCACAACCCTGAGATCATGACCTGAGCCAAACTAAGAGTCAGACACTTAACTGACTATGCTACCCAGGCACCCCATTTTTTAGCAATATTTTTAATACAAGTATGTATATTGTTTTTTAGAAATAATGCTATTGTACACTTCACAGTGTTAACATAACTTTTATATGCACTGAGAAACCAAAAAATTCATTTGACTTGTTTTATTGTGATATTCACTTTTACTGGGGTCGTCTGAAACCAAACCTGCAATATCTCTGAGGTATGCCTGCAGATTTTTGGGTATTATGACTCTTGTTTTAGATATCCATTTTGTCCTGTTCATTTGTCTCTGTCTTTTGTGTCATTGTTTGTCATAAATCATAGGGTAGAACACGGGCGTAGCTGTCTATAAGCCTGTTGTTTGAGCCTCACAGACCACTTAGTTTACAGTTCTCACCAGACTGGTGGCCCCTTAGATAAGCTTCGCTGTGGGTCACCAATAAAACTGGGTGAGGTTCTTCCGATTTGATTTTATGTCCTGAGAGCTTGGCTTGGATCCAGAGAGAACATTCCCTCTGGTTTTCCACCTGCTGGGCAGCACAGATATTTGAGTTCGTGTTCAGAGGTGACCAACCACTGGGATGGGGGCGAACACAGGAGGAAGACAAGCAACACTTTCCTACCAACTGTTACCAGCTCTCAGGAGGTTTGTCTAAGTATAAGTCCTACAGGATCCCAGCCCATTAGGACCCTTATTGTCTCCTTCCCCATTGCCTTTGAGCACTGAGAATTCTCCTCTCAGCATCATGGATTAGTGAATCTGTGATTGGAGGTGTCTCGTCTTTGTAAGAGGTCCGAGTCACATATACCTAAATGCCATTCTTACTGCTTATGGCAGAGAGAGTCCCTGCTTTCTTTCTCCTTGGCTATCTTTGGATATAGGGGCTGCATCTTCTGTGCCTTCTTTGGGAATATGTCTTGTGTCCATGTTTAAGCCATAAAAAAAAGCTTATTGGCTTAAGTCATGTTGGAAATGACTATACTCTCTGAAGTTGAGTTAGAGTCCCAGGCTTTTTTGCAATATACTTCTTGGGCTGAAAATTTTTTTCTGACTTTTTTGGAGACTTCTCTGTTTTTCCTACTTGCCTTTCACAGGAACTTCTCAGTTGACTGAAACCCTCAGCTTTCTCCAACCCTTGCTGACTACATGATCCACCTCTATGGTGCTAACTGTCCTCTTCTGTTCTCATTGGTGTGATTTTATTAAAGATCATTTGGGACTTCAGTGGTTCCTTTGGGAAACTTAAGATTTCCCCAAATTGGTCCCTCTGAGATCTTTCCTTTCTTATGATCTCCACTCCTTCCTCCTCCTTTGACCAATTACCATCTTCCCTTCAGCTCCTTTGATATGTCCCCCTTCAGATGCTTACCTTCTCCATCCCTCTGCCCACTACTGCCAGACCTTCCCTTTCTACTCCAGCTGCTCATCTCCCTACAGCCACTCAGGCTTTAGGCCCCCTCACCCTGATCAGGAGCTCTTGAGGGACAAAAGATAACCAAAAAAGTTACCATAAGTGACCACCTAAAGCCAAAAAGGGCATAAGTCCAATAAGAATGTTTCTCTGTATAAGAGAACATAACTGGAAACATTGATTAGATAACCAAGGCTTCTACTGGAATGTCATTTGAGAATGATATGCATAGAATCAGGTACGTCCAGACAGTTTTAAGAAATGGATCCAATGCTTACAAATTACTCTTGGAAAAACCAGCCTGGCTTATGGGGTTCCCAGTCTTACAGGTGGGTAAGGAAGGTCACTTCCTGGTAGGCTCAGGAAACAGGATATCTTGGGGACCTCAAGGAAAGAGGATTTCACCCAAATCTATAGGTACTGCAGGTGGAGTCTGGTAGTGAGTTCTTGGCTAGACTTCCTACCCTTGAGAAGCTTTGGAAAGTCCAATCTGAGATTCCTTATGGAAAGGTCCAGCCAAGCAAACTTTGAAAAAAAAAAAAAAAAAGGCTTATGGGGTCAACTGCCATTGTTGTTGTGCTTATAGAGATAATTAGGCCAAATTAGATGAGACTAGACTTATTTTGCAAAAATAATCTTTCTTTGATTATCTTTGACCAAAAGTATGGGTTACTCTAGAGGTGAATTTTAGGTTTCAGTGGAAAACTATAACCCACTCTTGCAAGTTATCAGATTCCAGTCCTCTTCACTGTCTTGGAGGTTTATCGTCTACCTGTAAACTGGGCTGAATCCTGCCATCTTCCACATTTTGTCAGTCCTTACCAAATTCTTAATTCTTCTAGTTTCTTTCAATACCAGGTTACAGCCCTCCAAATTAATGTTTCCAATTTCTTTCCCACCTTCCTGATGTGGCATCCCCAAAACCCAACACCCGACTGCCCAGATCCTTATTGGTGCTTCTAGGTTGTCTCTTAGCTGCCCTTTTCCTGAAACCCTGCAAGCTGAAGCTGGGTGACTTGAGAGAAATCTGTCAGATCGCCTCACTCCTCCACCTAAATGTGCTTTGAGCACAATGTCTAGAAATCTTCTTGGCTGGCTGCACTCTGAACTCAAAAATGGGGTTTATTGACTACTCCAACAATTCATCTTTTCTTTTTCTTTTTGTTTTGATAGGAATACCCTTTGTTAAATGTTCAGGACTGGGGGACGGATTCAACAAAATATGAGGCAATGTGTTTTGATTTGTTCTTTTTGTCTGACCCGTCTGCTGCATGTTCTTTCCCTCTGTAGATCTCTTACAACTTCTAACCAGTCTTCTCTCCACAGCAACTGATCCAGCTCCTTGTATGTGAAACTTCCCTACATTGATGGGACTCTATCACCCCTCACCCTCACTCCTAATGTCTTTTGCATCTCATTTCCTGCTTCCCTTCATCTGCTCTAACTCCTTAGCTCATTTGCTGTTCTTCAAATTGACAAATGCACTCCTGCCTCAGGGTCTTTGCACTAGCTGTTCCCTTTGTCTAGGACGCTCTTCCCTCAGAGATCTCTGCAGGATTCACTCCCTGATATTCTCCAAGTCTTTACTGAGATGATTATTTTAAAAAGCCTTCACTGGCAATTACATAAAATAGTCACACTTACAGGGAATAGTCCCTGGGGCAAGTTGGGTGTTCTAGAAGCCGACACTGAGACAGAGTTTGAGATGCAGGATGTTTATTAGAGATCAGCACTTGTGAAAGGAAGACCTAGGAGAAGCAGGAGGGCAAACAGTGAAGTCAAATTGTGATGCAGGCACAAAAAATTATTGGCCAATTTGGCAGGGAATTCTAGAGTAAGAATTGTCCAGAATTGGGGCGCCGGGTGACTCAGTCAGGTCAATGTCCAACCCTTGATTTCGGCTCAGGTCATGATCTCAGGGTCATGGGATCAACGTGGAATCTGCTTGTCCCTCTCCCTCCTCCTCTGTCCTTCCCCGATCCCTAAAATAAATACATTAAAAAAAAAAAATCTTAAAAAAAAAAAAGAATTGTCCTGTATTGGGCTGAAATGACCAGGCCTTTATACCCCTGCCATGCTCAGCCATTGGTTATGGGCTGCCCTGGGAATGGGGTGACCGTGGGCAAAACAGCAGTCTGAAGCTGCACTGACCCTGAAAGAACCAACAGCTGGAGTCTGCTGCTAACCACTCCCCACAGCTCGGCAGCAAGCTCTTCCTTCAAGAGGGAGCATCTTTGTATCTATCACCCATCCCCAACCCTGTATTAATGAAGCTCCATGAGGGCAGGCACTTACTTTCTAATAATCAGTGATATATCACTTAGAACACAGCCTGGTTCCTAGCAGGGCTCAGTACCTGTTGATTGAATGAATGAATGAAATCAGTTACTAGATTGAAGACTTCATTAAATCTATGCACAAAATGCGTGAAAAACTTTACCCCAGTGAATAATAGAACTCCTTCACTCTTTCCATCATGAAAATGTTTTAATTGGTTTGCCCCATACCTGCTATGTTATAGAACCACAGAATAACAGGATGATGATGTATCCAAAAACCTGAGAAAGAAGCATCTCTATGTCCTCTTCGGTGTGATGTTCTTTTAGGCAGTGTCTTAGTGGGCTTGGGCTGCCATAACACAATACCATAGACCAGGTGTCTTAACAGAAATTTACTTCTCACAATTCTGGAGGATAGAAGTCCAAGAATAAGGTGCTGCCTTGTTTAGTTTCTGTTAAGAACGCTCTTCCTGGCTTGTAGATGGCCCTCTTTTGCTGTGTCCTCACATGACCTTTCCATATTGCATGCATGTTCGGGTGGTGGGGGGAGATCTCTTTCTCTTTTTATAAGGCCAGTAATCTCACCATGGGGACCTCACCCTCATGACTTCTTCTACCCCTATGACCTTCCAAAGACCCCACCTCCAAATACATAAGGTGTTAGGGCATCAACATGTGAATTTTGAGGGGGACATAAGCATTCAGCCCATAACAAACAGGCTGTATGACAGGGTGACAGAGCACTGGGCGAGGGGGGTCTAAGACCCAGGTTTTTAAAGCTAGATCTGTTCTCGAATGACTTTGACCATGAACAAGTAAGGGGCTTTTTGGATCTCAGTGTCTCTACCAGAAAATAAGGGAATTGAGAAGACCGGCTCCAGGATTTCTTCCAGCTCTATCACATTCTGCTAGTTTTCTTCCTTCGGGCCCTTGCAATGTACATTTATGTGATATTTTGCCTGATTATCTTTAGATCGCTTTTTAGAGAATAAAAAAAAAAATCACAGGGCTATTTCAAGAATGTAGGTGGGTAATATGCACCATGAGGATTTGAGAGAGGTAGGAGAGGAGCATGGGATAGGCAGTGGCTTTGCAAAGGATCCATTTAAGCTATGACGCGTCAGTGAGCGAGCGGGCCAGGCATAATGCCAGGCCGGTGGAACTGGATGAGCCCATCGACAGCAGTACCTGGAACAAGAGTGGCTGTCACCAGATACACTGGGACTAGAGAAAGGGGAGACCCAAGGGGTACTTTGTTTATTTAGTACCTGTCTTATCTCACCTGTCTCTTCATTTATTCCTTTTTTTTTAATCTCTCCCAGAACCCCTCCCCCCACTGTAATCTCTATGAGAAGAATTGTTGGTACAGAGCAGGCACCCAATAAATATTTATTAAATACATAAAAGATGTCAGGGTCTCAATAGAAGCGACATTCTTACATTTTGGGGAAAGTAATCACTATAAGGAACACACTTTACTTTCAAATAGGACCAGTTCTTTCTTTTTTCCTTCCCTTCCTTCCATCTTTCCTTCCTTCCTTCCTTCCTTCCATTTATGTATCTATCTAACCAAGACAAAAATTTCTTTTTTTTTTTAAGATTTTACTTATTTATTTATTTGACAGAGACAGAGAGAGAGCACAAGCAGGGGGAGCGGCAGGGAGCGGGAGAGGGGGAAGCAGGCTTCTTGCGGAGCAGGGAGCCCAATGTGGGGCTTGATCCCAGGACCCTAGGATCATGACCTGAGCCAAAGGCAGATGCTTAATGATTGAGCCACCCAAGTGCCCCAAGACAAAAATTTCATAAAACAAATCTTGCTTTTACTAGATACAATTTGTTCTGGCATTTTAATCTTCTATTTTCTTTTTTAAAACCTTCTGGCCCTGACCTGCGATACTCATTTAGCCACCTCACAGGGCGGAAAGGGTGGAGGGAGGCAGTGGATCCCCGCTGGTGTGTGTGATGGGGTCACCCTGAGCTGGAAATGGATATCACAGGCTGAGAGCTCAGTGGCGCTACATACTTCCCTACCCTTCTTTGTTCTGATTCTCTGCTCTGCAGGGAGGCTTAGTGCTTTAAGCTTCTTCATAGTTTTATCTTCAGGGAATGAACATGCCAATCAGCAAACATGAGTATCTGCCCTACTGATATTTCTATCAGTTAGATATCCTATTTATCAATTAATCAATTGATATTAATTGATATTCTATTTTATACACCTACCTCTTGTGAATCTGATTTAGTGTGAATCAGAATCTGAAAAACCGTTCCTTTGGATGCCCCGACAATGTCATAATTCTACAAAAACTGGAGCCCAGACTGGACAGAGGGCAGCCAGTTCCCTGATGCTGTAAGGGGACTATTCCTTTGGGAGAATCTAATGCTTACAGAAGTTTATAAAGACAACAATGATCTTTCTGGATGCTGGCACTGCCTGTATTGTGAAGTCCTTTGTAAACCTTAGGGGCTAACAATTAAAGAATCATGTTGAGCTAAGTCACACATAGCACACATTTGTATCATGTAGTAGAGAATGGATCCTTGCCCTTGGAAACTATGCAACAAATGCAACTCAGGGGTCAGCTAAACCTAGAAAAAATACTCACATACACACCTGCTTATTTAACAACATGTTGCATTTAGATAGGGCTTCACAGTTTTCAGATGTGTGCAGGCTGCAGGCTCATCTGTTCCTTGAGGAAGTTGGGAAGGGTGCTGTTATAACTGTGGCTCTGACAGCTTAATCCACTCCAAGCTTTTGTCCTTGGGTCACCTGCTCAGTAACTGGAAGAGCAAGGCCTTAATTTCCAGCCTTCTCACCAACAGCTCAGCTCTCTATGGTTTTCATACTTGAATATGGTGATCCTTGTTTTGAGGGTTCCAGACCTTTATGATGCCTGGCATGCTCATGAACTTGTCCCAACACCTGCAGACACACTTCTAAAGCTACCCATCCTTCCAACTATGCACCTCATGCAGTTCAGCCAGAAAGAAAAAAACACAGCTGACTGGGCAGAATATAAGAGGAACTGCGTTCACCTCCCAACTTATGAAACTATCCTCTTGGCTTTCACAGTTAGAGGGAGCCATCTGATCCAGAGAGTTACCTAGACTGAATATCTAGAGGGAACTTTTATTTTTTTTAAAGATTTTATTTATTTATTTGAGAGAGAGAACAAGCAGAGGGGAGAGGCAGAGTGAGAGGGTTAGGCCCAACGTGAGGCTCGATCCCAGGACCTTGAGATCATGACCTGAGCCAAAGGCAGATGCTTAACCAACTGAGCCACCCAGGTGTCCCTAGAAGGAACTTTAAATCAGACTTGATAAAGCAACAAAAGGAGTTAGTCAGGAATGAATGCACACCCAGGAATAAGCACAATCTACAGCTTATTGTACAGTTAATATAAATGTGCAACACACTATAATTCAGTGTGACTTTCTTGTGCCAATTTCCAATTTGTCTCCACTGAAACTACTTTAGGAGAGTTGTCTTTGTTCTACTACAGTTCGAGCATCCTTTAGCCTTTTATTTTTCTTCTGTAGTCAAGGTTCTGTTGACCTATTTCTGTGTGTCTTTCTAGGAAAAACACATATTTTCCTTTACTCCCAGACACAATAGTTCTGACTCCAGATGTGTGGGCTTTTCCCACATCACCCAATTCTCTGACACCAGCTGGGTGTCCTACAATTCAGTGAATTCCAATAGTAAATGAGTTAGCACAGACCCTATACTTTCAGGGCTCAGTCCCACAAGACTGCCCCCCCAACTTCAGACACCAGGTGAAAGTGGTAGGTCTTCAAGTTACCCCAACTTCTGTCTGACTTGGCTACAGAGGTTCTCACGACCCCATCTTCAGGTTCAATAATTTGCTAGAATGGCTCACAGAACTCAGGAAAACAGTTTACTTACTACTGCCAATTTATTATAAAGGATACAAATGAATAGCCAGATGAAGGGGTACATAAGGTAGGATCTGGAAGGACTCTGAGCACGGAAGCTTCTATCCCCTTGGAGTTGGGATGTAACACCCTCCAAGCCCATAAATGCATTCACCAACCTGGAAACTCTCCCACCCCCATACTTGTGGTGTTTTTGTGGAGGCTTCATCACGTAGGCATGATCTATCACTAACTCAATCTCCAGCCCACTCCTCTTCCCTGAGCATGGGGGGTGGGGCTGAAAGGTCCAAGCCTCTAATCTTGGCTTGGTCTTTCTGGTGACCAGCCCCCATCCTGAAACCACCCAGGAGCCCATCAAGAGTTGCCTTGTTAGAACAAAAGACACTCCTATCACCCAGGAAATTCCAAGGAATTTGTGTCAGAAACCAAGGTCAAAGATTAGGACAAAAGATGCTCCTAGTGTTCTTATCACTTAGGAAATTACCAGGGTTTAGGAGCCCTGTGTCAGGAACAGTGTCCTACTGTCCACTCTTGGAAGACTGTTTCCTTATGTCACCAATTTTCCATCTCTGTTTATAACTGCTTAAAGTGTAGATTTTAAGATGGAGTTTTCAGTGGGGCACCTGGGTGGCTCAGTCTGTTAAGCATCCAACTCTTGATCTCAGCTCAGGCCATGGAGCCTACTAGAAAAAAAAATTAAAGATAGGGATTTTTCAGAAAGTAGTCTGGAGATGATTTTGTGGAATACTATCTGCCTAGGAACAAGCTAATCTGTGTTTCCTGCCCTGTTGGCTCTTGGCCTCTCTCTGAGCTCCCTCAGCCACTCTAAGGATCCTTCCCACAGTACAACAAGACAGAGGTTTCTACCGTCTTCTCGCTATGGGGAAGATTGTCTATTTAGGGCCCAAACTGTAAATGGCTTTCTCCACCATCCAGCCCCGAGCACCTCATTCTTTCCTCTGTGCTTTACTACTGGGTCCCTTTTGGCTAAAATAAAGAGAGGGACATATTTACTTTCTGGTCCTGAGCCTCATATACATAGCATCCCGATCTTCTTTCTTGGTCTCCCATCTGGACCAACATTGGGCTAGAGAGTGGGAAACCCATGCATTTCATGTTAAGGTCTCACAAGGAATCACTGGCCAGGACTCCACTGGTGGATGTTGCATGTGATAACTCACATTTTGCTTGATGAGTTGAGGCTCTCAGGGGAGGCAAGTTTTGAGAGGAACTGACAGGGCAAGTGAGGCTGCGCTCTGCATGGGAGAAGTCCTGCCACAGTCAGGTCAAGTAGCCTGAAGGGATGTGGAGAGATTGTGGCCAGATGTGGAGTGGAATCAGAGGTTTGAGAACTGTGTGAAGCACAAATCAAACTGAGATCATTCTAAATTATCCTGCTTTTTTATTATCTAATAATTCTCAATTATATTTAACCCTACAATTCTAAAGATGTCATTAAGATGTGATTTATTTTTGTCGTGTTTTGTTTGTTCACTGGGTTTTATAAATAAAAAATTTCTAAAAAGCCTCTTAGGGTGCCTGGCTGGCTCAGTCAGTGGAGCATGAGACTCTTGATCTCAGGGTCATGAGTTCAAGCCCCACGTTGGGCGTGGAGCCTACTTAAGAAAAAAAAAGAAAAAGAAAAGCCTCTTGCATCCAACCACATGATTCATTATTTGTGGCCAGAAAATTCCTATTAAGAAAGAAGAATCTTCTGTTTGGGCTGATAAAAATAAAGTTCTGAAATGGATAGTGATGATGGCTACACAACATTGTGAGTGTACTTCATGTCACTGAATTGCATACTACTTAAAGGTAGTTAAAATGGTAAAATTTTATATGTATATTTTGCAACAGTTAAAAAACATTTTTTTTTAAGGCAGAACCCCAAGGCAGGGCACAGACCTTCGAACCCTCTTTGAGCAGCTGGAAGCACTTAGGGGTTGATAACAGTGTCTACAGTAAGAATCTGACCTTTGGAGCCACACAGGCCTAGGCTCACAGTGAGGTCCTGCCCACACGAGCTGTGTGACATGAGCAAGCTCTCAACCTCCTTGGGTCTCAGTTTCTCATAGTTAAGAAAGATAGAAACTAACAAGTAGGACTTTTGCTAGGATTAAATAAAATAATGTTAAGTGTGGGATTTAGAATGTACCAACTTAGTTATGCCTAAACCCTAGAGCTTTTTAAAACTATCTGTGCTCAGGGGTGCCTGGGTGGCTCAGTCGGTTAGGGGTCTGACTCTTGATTTTGACTCAGGTCATGATCTCAGGGTTGTGAGATCGAGCCTCCTGCGGAGCCTACTTAAGATTCTCTCTCCCTCTCCCTTTGCCCCTCCCCCACCTCCTTCTCTAAAAACAAACAAACAAAAATGCACAACAACAACAACAAAAACTATCTGTGCTCAGACGCTATTCCTACTGGACACCCACCACCATTGGAAGGGCCTACGAAGGGATGACTCCTAGTGTTTAAAGCAGACGCTTGCACCAAGGGTTAGTGTGAAGCTCCTATGTTAATTTAGTGCTACAGTGTTTTTATTTTTATTTATTTTTTATTTTCTAGATACTTCTTGCCATTATCTACATTTCATTGATCCTGATATAGAAGCTTGCTCCTCCTATCTCTCCACACCTGCTGGCACATAACAACATGATCGATGGTCTTATATTAGTGCTGTGCTTGTTGAGTTTTCAGATGTGTTATCAAATCCTCTCTTTGCCAGTTTAGTGATAAGATCATAAAGGGAAGAGAGGCAGGTTGAGACTGGGTAATCAGCTCTGCAGAGAAGCAGGATACATTGCAACGACCCAGCCTCAGAGTAGCCCCCATGGTTCACTCACTCAGAGTAGCGCTGAATCAGTACTGTGGAGTTGCCTGTTTCCCACTGTTACCCAGGAGTGCAAAGGGTACTTCTGCCTCCCCCATGTCCTTCTTTGTGATTTAAAATTTCTCAGATTTTAATTTTTTTAATTTTTTAAAAAATTTTTATTTAAGTTCAATTTAGTTAACATATAGTGTATTATTAGTTTCAGGGGTAGAATTTAGTGATTCATCAGTTGTATATAACACCCAGTGCCCATTCCATCATGTGCCCTCCTTAGTGCCCATCACCCAGTTACCGCATACCCACACCCACCTCCCCTCCAGCAACCCTCAGTTTGTTTCCTGTAGTTGAGTCTCTGATGGTTTGCCTCTCCCTCTATTTTTATCTTATTTTATTTTTCCTTCCCTTTCCCTATGTCCATCTGTTTTGTTTCTTAATTCCACATCTGAGTGAGACCATATGGTATTTGTTTTTCTCTGACTGACTTATTTTGCTTAGCATAATACCCTCTACATAATAATACCATCCACATTGTTGCAAATGGCAAGATTTCATTCTTTTTGAAGGCTGAGTAATATTCCATCGTGTGTGTGTGTATCTACCACATCTTCTTCATCCATTCATCTGTCGATGGACATTTGGGCTCTTTCCATAGTTTGGATATTGTGGACATTGCTGTTACAAACAATGGAGTGCAGGTGCCCCTTCAAATCACTATTTTTGTATCCTTTGGATAAATACCTAGTAGTACAATTGCTGGGTCCTATGGCAGCTCTATTTTCAACTTTCTGAGGAACCTCCGTACTGTTTTCCAGGGTGGCTGCCCCAGCTTGCATTCCCACCAACAGTGTAGGAGGCTTCCCCTTTCTCTGCATCTTCGCCAATAGTTGCCTGGTTCCCTCTGTTACCTAGGAGTGCAAAGGTACTTCTGCCTCCCCAAGGTCCTTCTTTGTGATTTGAAATTTCCCAGATTTTTAAAAAGCACCCATCCCTGATGGTAACAATTTATGTTTTTCCCATACAGAATGGCCAAGTTCTCTACACCTGTACTCCTGCCGGGTCATTAAGTCATTCCTTTAGGAATCTTTTGGTTGGGTTGAACAGTTATAACCACTTAACTTAATGGCTTCTAGAGAGAACAGGAACCGCCTAGGAGGCTGATCTACTGATTTAACATTTACCAAGCACGGTTCTAAGGGCTTTACCTTCATTAACTCCTGCCGTCCTCACAATAGTAACATTATCCGCACTTTGTAGACGTGAAAGTGAGGCACGGGGAGGTGAAGTCACTGCATTTGGTTGCACGGGTAGCAGGCGGCAGAGCCGTCAGCCGCTGGAGGTCATGGGCCTGTCACCGTCCAGCTTCCCTGGGCGCCCAGGCGCTGTGCCCAGCTGGGAATACCAGGGAGACAGCCCGGAAGGCCCCGCCTCTATCTGCAGAAATGCTCTGAATCCCAGCTGCTAAGAGAGAGAGACTGCTCCTCACCTCCTGCTCACATGTCCCAGAAAAACATCAGGCAGTTAAACGTTTAATATAACCGAATAACGGGGCTTTTGACTAAACACCTCTCTAAAGAACGCTACTCCAGTAAAGGGTATGCAAAACAGAATTTTAAAATAAGGAGGTAAAGTGACTATATCCCAGTGATCGCGTCACCAAGACTGAAGGAAGGTGGAGAAAAAGAGATCGCGACTGCTTACTTAATAGCTTCTAGAAGGCAGTATCTGATTACCACTTCCTCTAGTTGTCTTGGTGAGTGGATTCCTGCACAAAGGAGAAGAGAAGAAGGTCATCAAATCCAAGTAACTTCAAACCAACTCCCAAAGCAAGCCTGGCAAATAACCTGCTTCCAGAAGCTGAGCTCTGCTCCACGGAGGGGAGCTCAGCTGGGCGCCGCCCAACGGGCTGCCAGAGACAGCCAATAAAAACGCAGCACGCCCAGTCAGATTTGCATTGCGGATAAACAATGAATAATGTTTTTTATGAGTATGTCTCTGTTATCAATTCAAATTTAACTGGGCGTCCTGTATTTTATCTGGCAAACCTACTCCCAAAACTAAAAAAAAAAAAAAAAAGAAGAAGAAGAAGAAAGAAAGAATCCCTTAGATGCCTTAGCCTTCCTATCTCATTATATCAAAGAGCTGAACTTCTTTCTCTAAAGAAAAAAATTGTATGTGAAACGATGTAAGGAATTTCACATGTCTGGTATAAATCAAATCAGAGTACCAGGGTGTAAAGTGGATTTTATTATTGTTCTTACCTAGTGAAAGCAACAATTAAAAGTAGTGTAAACTACCGGGCTGAGAATTTGGAGAAGCGGGTGCTAGCTCTGTGCCTGATCCAGCCTCCCGGTTCTGTCCTCTCCTCTCTCCAGCCCCTCCCCTCCCCTTCGGAACTGGGAGCACTGAGTTTCTTTCCCTTGGTGCCCGCTTAGTGGTAGAGCCTGGAGGAAGACAGGTGGGGAGCTGAGGACTTGTGTATGTTTGTGTCACTTCAGCTTTGGAACAAACTCTAACTTCGTCTTTAAAAGCACACATTTGTTTCATTAACATAACGAGATATTTTACTATTATATCCATGTTATGTCTGCCTGTCGTTTTAGTTAAAAGTAAAAATGATACACATCTGTCCTTCAAGAAAGGGCTAGAATGAAATGGGCTGTCAGTCCAGCCTGGCCACAGTTCCCAGCGTCAGATTGTTTTCTGAGGGTCACATTCTTCAACGTGTGACAGGGCAGAGCTGGAATGACAACTCTAAGTCTCTTCCTGTTCCAGCACTCTTCAACGTGACAACTCCTCAATGGGCTTTTGTAGGCTGCAGGAATTTCATACCTTAGAAAAGGGAATTCATACCACTACTTAACTGGTTTCAGCTGAGGGACAAAAAAGCTCCAGCTGTACTACTGAACACCATCATAAAATGAAAAAGGCTAAACTGTAGGGGGAAAAAATCCACATTAAATAACAGTGACATTCATTCTCCTGCACTAAGCAAAACTCACCAAAGGAACGGTTGTTCAAAGGCAGTTGCCTCCAGGCCCTAGTTCACCACACTCCTTCTAAAAGAAAATTAACCCCTTTGAGTCATGACACAAGCATATTCACACTCCAAGCGGGAAAGGAGTAAGAAATTATAATCATAAAATTTCCACCCCTACCTGTCTAAGCAGGTTCAGAGTGTTATGATATTACTCCTTTTTTGGGCCACTTCCCAGGTGCAAAAAGACTTCCACAGTCATTGTGCTTACTTGCTTACTATTATTAGTAATGACAACATTCCCCAGGCTTCCATCAAAAAAGGTACTTACATCTCCAACCCACGACTGTCCACGGGGCAAGTAGTAATTCTTTCCTTACCCCCATTTATATTTTGTACCTTGATTATTTAACTCTAAATGTTAATAAGATCTATTAGTAGATGACTGAAATTGGTAGAAATCCTGTAATTCCTGTTGATTTTGTACTATGTGTAAAATAAAACATAATGGCTATTTACATATGGCCAGGCATAGCCAAATACAGTTGAGTTGTATATACAAAGTTTTAGAGAATCTAAACTTAAAAACTTTTTTAAGAAGATTTTATTTTTTAAATAATCTCTACACCCAGCCTAGGGCTTGAACTCACAGCCCCAAGATCAAGAGTCATGTGCCTACTGACTGAGCCAGCCAGGTGTCCCTAAACTTAAGACTTTTGTCTCAAAATTCCAAATCTTGGAAAAGTATATTTTTAATAGCATTTTTGAAAAGGTATTGAGGGGCGCCTGGGTGGCTCAGTCATTAAGCATCTGCCTTCGGCTCAGGTCATGATCCCAGGGTCCTGGGATCAAGCCCCGCATCAGGCTCCCTGCATCAGGCTCTCTGCTCGGTGGGAAGCCTGCTTCTCCCTCTCCCACTCCCCCTGCTTGTGTTCCCTCTCTCGCTATCTTTCTATCAAATAAATAAATAAAATCTTTTAAAAAAAAGTTACTGAATTGTAAATGAAAGACTTCAAGTTGGAAAAACTGGATTGCCTTTAAAATTACATTAATAATAATAATAATAATTACTATTATTATTATTATAAAATCATTTGGCCTTAAATCATCCCTTGTCTGTAATAACTTGAAGTACTTAATAAAATGCTGTATTCTACTCATCCTCTTGACGATAGAGTTGTGGATGGTGAAAATTATAAAGTAACACAGAGATTCTCTAGATTGGTGCTCAAAACAAGGGGGAAAATCTTTCTCTATTTTCCTTTTGAATTAACATGGATAACTAACCAAGATAAATTAGTTCCCAAACCAGATCTAGGGTAGCTGTCTATCCAGCTTAAATTCACCAGATAATTGCCAGTTCTTCCATATTCTTTTTCAACTCTACCTGTGCCTAACATATGGCCTGGGATAAAAATATTATTAAAAAAAAGAATAAGCTCACTTTTCTCCTCTGGATGTCTAGGAAGGAGAAGAGGATTGTGGGCCTTTTTTCAACTGTTGCCAGGTTTTCCCAAGGGGCCAGGCTTAATGTGTGACCGTCCCCAGGGGTGCTGTGACTACTGCAGTAGTCCTAACCTACCAGTGTGCTGACCAGCCCCTTCCAGCAGAGATACATCAGGGGTCTGTGGTAAGGTGCCAAACTACTGCAGAGAGCTCCCAGCTATGCCTCCTGCCAGGCTCCCATGGCCACTGCCTAAGGTTAAGGAAGGGAGGAGGTGTAGACAAATTACAGGCACACAGGAATTACTGAGATCGCTCCAAAAGGTTCTAGAATGCCAGTGCTTCAGTCCTGGAATTTCACTGTGCTGCCCAGAGCTCAGCATTTTGCATCCAGGCCAGAAAAAAAATCAGAAAAATGGTTTTTCTTTTGGTTCACTGCACACAGCCACCTTTCAGTCCTTCTCCTCCATCCCAAGTTCTCCCCAAATTCTTCTGCAGCTCAGCCTCGGGGAAATCAACCCTGCAAACTAGAACTCTTCCGTGACTTAATCCTTCGCTTCTCCTTCCCTCCCTCCCTCTCTCCCTCTCATCCTCCTTCCTACTTTCCCTCCCTGCTTTCCTTTGTGAACTTACTGGTCTCTCTTTCTTTCTGCCCTTGCTAAAATTCCCATGTTAGTCCCATTTCCCAAGCCTGGAGCCATCAGAAGATCCTTAACTGGTTTTTCTAAAACAGCACTGTCTAATAGAAATATAATGTGAGGGAAAAAAAAAGAAATATAATGTGAGGTCTATGGATCATTTTAAATTTTCTAGTAGCCACGTTAAAAAAAGTACAAAGAAACATGTGGAATTGATTTTAATAACCCTTTATTTAACCCAACATACCCAAAATAGTATCATTTTAATGTGGAATCAATATAAAAACAGATATCTTACATTCTTTCCTTCACACTAGGTTTTTGAAATCCTGTGTATATTTTATAGTTACAGCACATCCCGATTTGGACCTGCCACAGTTCAGTTGCTCAACAGCCATATTTGGTGGGTGGCTACCATATAGGATAATGCAGATGCAGAGACTAATTTATTTACCCACTTCAGTGCTGCTATGGCAGAGCTTGATAATTACCTCCCAACGTTCATTTTCCCCTTTTAATTTAACTACCAGCATCCCAATTCTCAGGTTCTAGGTGTTAGGCTCCCCTGCTGTTCAATGTGGCCATGTAACCAAGAGTTCAGGCCAACAGAGTTAAGTAACCGGTAGCTGGTACTGTCGAGATGTCTCCTTATGGGCAAAAGGCACACACATATTCTTTGTTAACACTACCTGTGCTTAACATCTGGCTTAGGAGAAACAAGTTTTGTTTTGTTTTTTTTAAGCAAGAGTAAATAATGTATGGGTTCATCAAATCACTGTTATACTCATGAAACTAATGTAACATTGTGTATCATCTATATTGAATTTAAAAAAAGAGCACACTCAGCTCTCTGAGCTCTGGGAGGAAGTGTTTTTGGCCTTCTTGCGTCTATGGAATGAGCCGTGAAGAGCCATCACGGAGCTGTCATAGCCCTGGGCTGCTGCTGGCTTCTGGACTCCTCTGTGAGAGAGAAATGGACTTCTGCCTTGGTTACATTATTGATATTCTGAGCTTTTTCTGAGCCTAATCTTAAACAATGTCCTTCCATAAGATGGTTTTGGCCTACAACAAAATTAGTCACAGTCTGCAGCAGGAAGCCTTGGAAAATACTTTGTGACAATGTCCTCTCCAGCATCCTGTCTTCCTGTGGTCTGTCCTCTAGAAATGTTCTAAGTTCTACACGCACAAAGACTCTTTTGACTCACTGAGTAACTCTGAGAAGGGAGCTCTCTCAAGGCTGGTTAACACCTCATTGAAAGAGAATCAATCTCACTGTATTTCAATTGCCCCAAACTACCTACTGCCTAGTGCTTCAGTGGGTGGGAAAATGTCGCTTCTACAAGACTAGAGGTTCACACTGTCTTTCACTTTTAAGATTTAAAGCCGAAACATAAAAATGCCCTTTTCCTGGCGCACAAGGGTCAAGTAGAATGTCATGATGCACAAGGCTGCGCCCGCTACCACTTTCATAATGAAAAGGGCTTCACTGAATCCTTCAGAACATGTGTGTTTGAACAGGAAAGTGCTTTAAAGGCAATTCAGACCAAATAAAAAGGAAGATGAAGTGCAGTGAGCAGAGCAGTGTGAATGAGCCTGGAAGAACCCCTGGGACCGCCTGAGTAATAAACTTTTGTGACCAGAGCCCTCCTTTTGTGAGAGGTGCTGCACCCTAACTTCATAGCCCTGAGGCCAGCAGCTTCTTCCCCTGGCGAGGGGCTAGCGCTCACCAGCACGTACAGGCGCTGGCTGGCAGGTGGTGGCCATTAAGAGACCCACCTTACAAAATGGAAGAAAAACATTACTAAAACTTAAAAAATACGTTTACCTCCACCACTTGGGGGACAGGTCTGACCATGTCTTTATAAACTAGGCATAGCCCTACCCTATGACCCAGCAATTCCACTCCCAGGTCCTTGCCCAAGAGAACTGAAAACATCCAACCACACAAAGCCTTGTACGAGGATGTGTATAGCAGCTTTATTCATAATAACCTCAAACTGGAAGTAGCCACGCGTCCAGTCACTATGAGACTGGCTAAACAAGCTGTGGTATATTCATTCAATGCAATGCCACTGAACAATAAAAAGCGATGAATTACTGATATACTCAACAGTATGGATGAAACTCAAAACAATTATGCAGATTGAAAGAAGACTTACACAAGAGGTCATGCTGTACGGGGCGCCTGGGTGGCTCAGTCGGTTGAGCGTCTGCCTTCGGCTCAGGTCATGATCCCAGGGTCCTGGGATTGAGCGCCATGTTGGGCTCCCTGCTCAGCGGGAAGCCTGCTTCTCCCCTGCCTGCTTGTGTGCTCTCTCTGTCTGACAAGTAAATAAAATATTTCTTTTTAAAAAGTTCATGCTGTATGATTGCATTCATATGAAATTCCAGAACAAGCAAAGCTAATCTCTCATGGAGAAAGATGGACAACCCAAAAAAGAAATTAAGGAAACATTTCCATTGACCATAGCATCAAAAAGAATAAAAAACTTATGAATCAACTTAACCAAGGAGGCAAAAGACACTGAAAACCTTAAAACGTGGCTGAAGGAAATCGAGGGACAGGAAGGTCAGTTTCCTGCCCATTTATTGCCCTCCTTTAAGTGTTACAGGCTCTTCTAATATGTTAAACCCAAATATACCTCGTGGCTATTTCACCCAGGGCTCCCTGGAGCAACCCTCAAGCTACTCTCTTCTCCACATTCCAAATACCTGAGAGCAGCTGACAAACACGTGAAAAAGGCTCCTCTGTATCTCTTTGTATCATTTCCTAAAGATTTGGTATTTTCTTCAACTGTTTTCTATAGGACATTGTTTTACAATATCTTGATATCCTGGATACACTCAGGTTTACACCAGTTTTGTTGCTGTTGTTTTTAATGATGCCTAGGAAGGACTGTAAGACCCCAGACAATAGCTAGGTATGTATCCTGGTAAACTAGGATTATTCAGGTTAATCTAGGAATGTCATCAAATATCTAAATCATTCTTTTGAATCTGTAATCTAGCCAGTTCTTTTCTCTTTTGTATTTATGAAATAGATACTGTTTAACCTAAATGCATTTTTTTCTAGTTAAAATTCATGTTCTCGCCCTGAAATCCTTGTGAACCTTGCTGTTATCTCTCATATGAACTATTCCTCCCAGCTCTCCTCTCCCCTCCCCTCCACTCCCCTCTCCTTTCCTTCCCTTTTTTTAAAGATTTACTTAGGGGCACCTGGGTGGCTCAGCCAGTTAAGCGTCTGCCTTCAGCTCCGGTCATGATCCCAGGGTCCTGGGATGGAGCCTGATGTGACGCTCCCTGCTCAGTGGGAAGCCTGCTTCTCGCTCTCCTACCCACCCCTGCTCTCTCTTGCTCTCTCTGTCACTATCTCTGTCTCTCTCTGAAATAAAATCTTTTTTAAAAAATAAACAAAAATTTATTTATCTATTTCAGAGAGAGAGCATGAGCAGAGGGGGCAGAGGGAGAGGGAGAGAGAATCCCAAGCGGACTCTGTGCTGAGCCTGAGGTAGGACTCAATCCCAGGACCCTGAGATCATGACCTAAGCTGAAATCAAGAGGACGCTTAACTGACTGAGACACCCCAGGTGCCCCTCCCTCCCAGGTTTTCAACACCAATTTATTAAATAAGCGTGTCTGATAGTTCTTCACCAAATTAAACACACTAATCACTTAATTCGTTCTGGGTGCAATTGTTTAATCAGCTGAAATAATATAGAAGGTCATTAGCAGAGCATAATTAATCCTGAAAAAACCCCACTTAAACTGTTTAAAACAGGAAAAAAAAGTCCATTAAACATTGAAAATGTTTTATTATAATGAATCTTAAAAAATAAAACCAAACATCTTGCAAATTAATTCATTTTACATTCAAGTTAACAAGCTGTCAGCTATGATGGCAATAGTGCGTCAGTTCTGAAAACAAAAATAGAATATGGCTCAAGCCCTGTTATTTTACGGGAGGAAGGAGATTTTCCGACAAAACTATGATAGCAAGGTGCGATCATCTTCATTTTATTTTTGACATTCAGATTATAATCGTAAAGATTGTCATTTCTGCAAAAATATTAGAAGGCTTGATTCATTGTCCTTACTTCTCCTTTTATATTCAAATAATTCACTTCTGTGGTCCTTTGACGTCTTCATGATTTTTTTCTTCCTCAATTAACAGTCTGACTCTTCCATATCATTTTTTTGTTTTCTATTTTGGATTTCATTCAAACAATTCTCTGAAAGACTTCTGGAAATCCAATATCTTTTGCAAGATTTATGATTTCACTTTGCAATTGATTTGAATTCCTTCAAATAAGATAGCTATTTAGATGGATTCTGGATCCAGCTCACCCAGGTTGAAATTCTACTTGACCAAGAGCCTCAATTCCCTAAAATGAATGAATAAGAATAATATTTACCTTATAGGGTTTTAGTAAGTATTAAGTGAGTACATATGGGTAAAGGAGGTAAAACAGTGCCTGGCACATAGTAAGCATTTAATGTTATAGTGCCTCTTTTTATTATTGTATTATGCAAGGAAATCAGCAAGCTATCAACAAAAAAACTGGCAATTCGGGCTGGCACAGATGCTAGTATAAAGTGACGGTATGAGCTAAATTGTGTCCCCTAGAATTCATATGTTGAAGTCCTAACCCCCAGTACCTCAGATAGTAACTGTATTTGGAGATAGGATCTTTAACAGGTCATTAGGGTAGCCTTATATGAAGAGGGGATTAGGGGGCACCTGGGTGGCTCAGTTGGTTAAGCGTCTGCCTTCAGCTCAGGTGGTGGTGATCTCAGGGTCCTGGGATCGAATCCCGGGGTGGGTCCCGGCTCAGCGGGGAGCCTGTTTCTCCCTCTCCCTCTGCCCTTCCCCCCCCCCACTTGTGTGCTTTCTCTCTCTCTCAGATAAATAAATAAAATCTTTAAAAAAAAAAGAATAATAAGAAGAGATTAGGGCACACACACAGAGGAAAGACCATGTGAAGACAGAGGGAGAAGAGAGTCATCTACAAGCCAAGGAAAAGGTACCTGAGGGGGGAAAAAAAATTAAAAGAAAAGGTACCTGAGGAGAAGCCAACCCTGTTGTCCCCCTTTATCTTGGACTTCCAGCCTCCAGAACCCTCAGGAAATAAATTTCTGTTGTTTAAGCCATTCAGTCTGTGGTATTTTGTTATTGCAGTCCTAGCAAACTAACACAAGTGAGGAAAGATTTGGGTGTGACTATCTTACTTCAAAAAGTCGTTAGTTTTAAGAAAGTTCGTTTGTAAGTGTTTCTGTTATGATCGTTTTATTTCCTTGCACCCTTGTGATTAAGGTCGCATGTGGTGAATTCTGGAATATAAGAGGACCCTAGAATCAGCGGTCCACATTTCTCTGTGCACAAGGATGTCATGAGAGACTCCTGGCAAATGTCTTGCTAACATAAGTCATTCCTGACTATAATATTTTCCTGTTCCTCCAGTCAAGTGCTTCAAAATGGAACAAGGTTGGTTGGCCTGAGCTCAGATTTCAGGGAACTCAAGAGAGTGCCTCGCAGTCACCACTTTTTTTAATAAATACACACAAAGCCCCTTTAATCATTCATTCTGGAGTTTTGCTGAAGCTCAGAATTAAACTTAACCAGGGCACAGATCCATAAGTCACTTTTCCTGTTGTGCTGGAAAATCTGGAACTCATTTGCCCATCTCCGGTCTTTTGCTGTCTCTCTGTTCCCCGATCCCTCCCGGTTGGATTGCCCTGTGATCACATCTGCAACTTCTTTCAGGGCTCTGGGGTGTCATTTATCTAAGCCAACAGCCTTGCTCTCATTTGAAGCAGCTAGATGCTCTTTTTGCATCTGTCTTGGATTGATGATCTTTCTGCTTGGGGCAGAAGACAAACTTGTGCAGTTTCATCATATACCTTGCACTTTTTTTCATTTACATTGATCGTCTTTCCTGGTCCTATCAGTGCAAAATTTTATTTGCTGTCATGAATATCCTTTATGCCGCAAAATTTCATCAAGTAGTTATCAGCTGAAGGCAAGTTATACCATCCAGGCCTGTAGTGATCCCCCCCTGCTGATTCTAAGATCCATTGATAGGCGATCATAATTTGTGTCATAAATATACTCAGGAATTTCAAATATAGTTCTATTTTTTCGCTACTCCCTTGAGTCTTGAACTAATCTTGAGTCTTTGGCATATATTACAAACAAGATTTTTAAAAGTATAAATATCAGAAGTAATAAATGTCATGCACTAAATGATACCATAAGTTTCTCCATTAAATGGTGCCAGTTGAGGAAAGTATATACTTCTTGCCCTCCGTGATTATACTGGTATTCTCTAGACCCCATTCAGTGGCTTATGTGTCAGATCCCCTGGGTACCAGAGAAGCCCTGCAAAACCATCCACATTGGCCCCTCCCAGGACCAAGCCAACTGAAAACCTGTATTGACCACCTGAGCCCCCATTCCTCGGGGGACAGAGTCCTGTCACCTAGTACTGATGCCGTGGGCTCCTGCAAGTAAGGCCTTCACTACCTTCAAAGCTGGTCAACACTTACTCTAACATTTCCACTGATGGACATGGTGGTACCTTCCTAAAGGGCCTGCAGAAATAACCCAAAAAACCTATTTCCCCCTAAATGGAAGAAGTTATGCATGCCTTTCAGTAAATGTTCACTTTTGGTGGTGGTGCCTCAAGCCATTGCAGGAAAGAGGGAGTGGGAAAGAGGGCTTATGGGAGAGAGGTCCCCTCTCCCTGCTTCAGTTTGAGTGGATTCATTGCCCTTTTACATGTAGTTGGCTTCCATATAAGATTTTGTTGCAAGAAAGCCTCAAGGTGGTTTGCATATCTCCTTAGGCTACTCACATCTACTCCCTACTTAAGGTTGCTAGGTTTAGTAAATAAAAATACATGATATCCAATTAATTCGAATTTCAGATAAACAACAAAATAATTTTTGTATAAGCACATCCCACATATTGCATAGGATATACTCATACCAAAGAATGATCAGTTGCTTATCTGAAATTCAAATTTAACTCAGGGCCCTGTATCTTATCGGCCAGGCCCGTCCACTCCCAATAAACCAACAGCCCTTTCTCCCACTCCAGAGCCTGACAAAGTGGCACCTCAGAGATTGCCTGTCTAATTGATCCCTTTTGGTAATTGCCCCTTAAGCATTTAGCGGCAACCCTTCCCTATTCAGATCTCAGTCTGTTGACCCCTGTCCCTCAGGCCCAGCCTTTGTCATACTCTGCTCCCATCTGAACTCGTGAGGATAGTCTGGCTCCAGGCCCCACTGACCCGGCTCACTTTGACATTGATAATCAGAATGAATGACTCCCTTTTAGGCTTACCAGTCAGGGCAGGCTTTCACCTGTGTTGATCACTGGAAACGTCTATATATCAACACTTCCATTTCTTAGTGGGGAAACAAAACCAAAAAAGGTTTCCATCATAAAGAGTCTTGACCAAGATTGGTGATCTACAACTAGTTGGTTGGTGTCAGGGGTTGAAGGGAGCTAGGGGCTGGTAAAATGCTATGGGAGTTGCCTCTGGTTGAGGGTATAGGAAGAAGAGAATGTGTTCTGCCATAGCTGTGAAATGAATGGAAGGATCTAGAATGTGGCATGAAGAATATTGTCTCAGATACCAAAGACATTTGACATGGTGCTTCTAATAGTTCTCGTCTTTTTCAGCATAGAGTGACAGAAGAGCAATGAGAATCAGAGTCAAAATTTGAGAGTTACTTCAGGATCCGCCTAATGAAACTCTGAGGCAGGTATGTAACCTCCCTGACCTTTCTCTTCCATGGAACAGGACGCTTGTGCCTGTCTTGCTGGGTTTTGTGGGAATTAAATAAAATACCACTTAAAGTCACGTTCCCTTCCATCTCCTTCTCCTCTTTCCTAAATTAAATTATTTTCTCTGCTTTAAACAAAACAAAACAAAATGATTATGGTTTTGAGAGTATAAAGTAAGGAGGTAAAAAAAAGAAAAGAAACATCTAGAAATATTAACATTAAAGAAAATTATATAACTTATTTTGAAAATATTCCAGATAGGCAGGAGAATATGGAGAGATTCAGTTTAAAGACAGAACACACACATTTACTGCTTCTCCTTCCGGAAATACAACTGAAATTGTGGCAAAGGGACAAACAAAAGCCATAAACCTGTAGAAGAAAGAGAGTAAGAGAGAGGACAATAGCCACAAAATTTGGGGAGGCAGAAAGCAGAAGAATGAACTGACTTAGCCCTCCATAAAAGGAAGAGTAGAGTTTTCCAGAGAGGGAAAATGGCTGCCCCAGTCTGAGAATACAGGAGATAATGAAGACAGGAGGGTCACAACCTAAGCCCCCTCCCCAAACCTTCAGCTGGATGAATACCCTCCCCCACCTTGTCAGAGGACCAAAGTTGCTTCCTAAATGCTGACTGTCAGGCATAAACCTCCCAGGCAGGGAACAACTCAAGAGAAAATACCTAAAGAATTCTGAAGCAATGAATGATCCTCATTGAAGAAAAGGTCCTCAGCCTTTAGGAAAGCCCAAGACTTACTCTAGTTTACAGAGAGTCCAAATAGCTTATTAGTACTAAATTTTTGTTATCAGACATCTGAGGGGGAATTACTTATATGAAAAATGAGGTGCTAAATAAATAAGAGTGTGGGGGGGGGAGATTCAGAGGAAACCCAGACTATACATTTAAATGAAAACTTAAAAAAACAGTCATTAATGTCCTCACAGTGATGATCAAACATTTTAACCATGAAACAAGAACAGGATGTCACCAAAAAAATTTCAGAAAAAACCTAACTCTTAGAAATAAAAAATACCCACTCTCTTAAGATAGCATCAACCATAAGACATATCATTTTTTGTACGATATTTTAAAATGCACAATTTTTATTTTTACCTACTGAAGAATTTTTAATATGGCTTAGAGACAGATGCATTATACCTCATCACCATTGTGTGCGTGTATGAAAATATAAGAAAAATGTATTACTTCCTAAACATCTTCACATTCAGAGTCTGAATCTTCTGAAACCACTTCTCAACTCAGAATCACTGACATCTTTTCTCCTTCATTGAATTTTTTTGTGCCACTAGAGTACAAATTATGCATCTTTTATTAAAGATCTATTTGTTTATTTGAGGAGGAGGGGCAGAGAGAAACTCTAAGCAGACTCTGCGCTGAGTGCAGAGCCTGATATGGGGCTGGACATAGGGCTGGATCTTATGACCCTGAGATCATGACCTGAGCTGAAACCAAGAGTCGGAGGCTTGACTGATTGTGCCACCCAGGTGCCCCAGATTATGCATCATTTCTTAGCCAATTACTCCACTAGAATCTTAGGGATTTTTTTTCCTAAGCTACTGATACCCATTCTTCAA